CCTCTGCCCAAAATTCATTACAGATATATTTTCCTCCAATCTTTAGATTCGGAAACCCTAGCCCGCAACCTTGACGAAGCCAATTTGCATCATTTTTGTTTCCCCTTCAAAATGGGGAAATTTGTGGGGAATCCATCGGTGCGGTGACCTCGGTGGGTAAACATCGTAGTTCGATGTAGAGGCAAGAGTTTGCGCCGTAAAGCTCCCCAGTCGAGACGTCAAACCTACTTCCCCTGCCCCTGTCGTCGCCGGTACCTCAGACTTGCTAACCTTTCCTCGCGTTTGGGGAATCTCCAAAGGGATCAAATTTCCTCCTCCATTGGCTCAAATTCGGTAAGTATAGAACCAATTTATTGATTTATTTGTTCGGCATTTTGTGATTTTGTGTGATCTGCGTTTTGTGATTTAACATGCATATGCAATAGTTTGGGAAAAGCTTGTGTTCAGTTTCTAAAAAAAAAGTTCATAGAGCAAAACCATACTTGTACAGGTTTCTCTAGGCGTTTATAAGAGCAAAACCAGTTGTATGGGCACCCCTGGTTTTGGAGAAAAGGACCCCAAACTTAACTTTGTTTTTTTTCGTCTCTTAAATGCTTTGTTGCTTTAGTTACAACTTGTGACTTTGAAATGTGATTTGGGCACCCCTAGTTTAGGAGAAAAGGACCTAAAAATTTTAATTATATCCATATGGCACATAAATAATAAGCTTTCTACAGTTAAATATTCTATTTTTCCATAATAAAATACTAGAGATTTTTTTTGTTATTCTCGTGGATCCTTAGAAGTTGGCTAATGATGAACTCAGTTGGCTCCTTAATGAAATTGACATAGAAGTTTGTCTAGAATAAGCTTAGAGACTAAATAAGCTTCGTATGTTGTTTAGAAAACATAAACTAGCTTGTTATTTCCCTTCAAGGAACCCATAAACCGAATATACTATTTCCAATTTATACATAAATTTATTTATCTACTTCATAACTTTAGTCATATTTTATCACAAAATGAGTTCAACTAACACATAACATAACAACAGACGTAATTTTATTAATTTGAAGGATTGTGTTTGAGCACTAGATGGTACGCACGTTCCATGTGTGCCTCCCCGTGAAACGGCCGAACTTTACAGAAATAGAAAGGGGTTCTTTTCGCTTAATGTGCTTGCAGTTTGCTTATTTGATATGAGATTTACATACATGTTATCTGGCTGGGAGGGTTCAGCACACGATGCGAGAGTACTTGCGTCCAAGTTAGATCACTCACGGAAACGATTTCCGAAGCCGCCACCAGGTAACTGGAACAAACTTCTCGTTCTACATCTACCTAATTCATAAACTGCATCCAGATTATAACTGTTGATTGTGATTACTTAAATACATGTAGGAAAATTCTACCTCGTCAATTCAGGCTACGCAAACAACGAATGTTTCATGGCACCATATCGGAGAACAACATACCATTTGCAAGAGTATAGGAATCGATGTGGTAGAGGCTTCCGCAGTGAACGTGAATTGTTCAACTACACACACTCCTCCCTGCGTAATGTAATCGAAAGAACATTTGGTGTGTGGAATGCCATATTTCGTATTTTAAAAAGCATTAACTGTTACCCCATTGAAAAGCAAGTTAAGGTTCTGGTTGCATGTGCTATAGTCCATAATATTATCCACATGTACCGTAATGGAGATAGACTATTGGATTAGTACTCATAAGACGGCGTTCCGGTTGCGGACATTGATCCATAGAATGTTTAAGAGGATATCAATGACAATAACAACCACAAAGGACAACCATTAAATTATAATGCAGAATTGGAGATGAATGCGTTAAGGGATGCAAGAGCGCATACAATGTGGGCAGTGTACCGTAATCGTCGTACGCGCTAATAATAGTGTATGGAGAATTGTGATATTAATTATGTATATATTGTGACTATTTACTCTCCATTTATAATGGAAACTTATCTTCTAGTAATTTTTTATATGGTATTTTAATTTATTAAATGAAGAAAATGCCTACGTTGTTTTTAAATTTATTACTACTTATAGATGATTCACTTTTATTTATTCAAATTAAATTACATAAAATCAATTAAATGAAAGAAAAAAAAATTCCAAATACTATTCACAACTCAAGAATTAGTTGAAACAAACACAAACTCAAATAAATTATAATTTCAAATTATAACTCCAGTTTACACAACCAAACACAAACTCAAATTATAATTTCAATTTAAATTATATCTCAAACTCAACTCAAAATCTACACTCAAATCACCTTACTAAAAAAGGACAAAATAACATTCCCTTAGGCACCTCAAACTGTGGTAACATGCCCTATCAATACGAGTCTCAAATAGTCATCTTGTCTAACTTCCCTTCTTTTTTTTCTTTCTTTCCCCATCTCTGTCCTTCCTCTGCAACTCTTTGCTTAGGGAAAAAAAATGATTTTCTTTTTCTTTTTATTTTTTCTTAATAATGGAGTGTGGGTTTTTGGGAGGGCATTTTATGGTGTGGTGGTGATCAGAAGTTGTCGCAAAGCTAATGAGTTGGAGACTCAGCTAGATCATGGCCTGAAAAATTATAACCTCTAGACTCTAGAGAATTCCCACTGGTTAACTTCCTTAAGATCACCCAATTTGTGTCCTTACGCGCCCAATACTTTGAAATGAATAATGTATTCAACCTTTTTAGTTTCACTTGAAATAGTGGAAGAAAACAGGAGAGGGCTGAAATTTTCGCCAGAAAAGGGAAGAAAAACCACACTCACACTCACACAGACACAAATCTCACCGGAAAACTTCTCACATCTCTCTTCAAATCCAATTTCCTCTAAAATAACAAATGGCATCGTGACCGGGCGGCAAGACGACGATGAGCGACTGGGCTCCAAGGTATAGGGCGGAGATGCTCGAGAGGTCCATGGTGATTGTTTCTTCTTTTTTTTTTTTTGGTTGACGTTGATAATGATGTGAAGAAGTTTGAGAGAAATTTAAGCCGTTCATTTTATCATTTGAATTTAGAATTTGAGTTTTATAACAGTAAAATTTTTTCAAAAATAGTTACGTTTAATTTTTTTATTATAATAAAAAATTCTCATATAAAATTATATCTCAATTAAAATTAAAAATTTAAATTAATAAATTAAGGTCCCATTTATTTTACCGTTTTGAGTTTTACTGCAGTAAAAAATTTTAAAAAATAGTCACATTAAACTTTTTTATTACCGTAAAAAATTCTCACATAAAATTATATCTTAACTCGAATCAGTGAACTAAACGAGTCTGAAATATGCCTTGACGGTGGAAGACGCAGTGACACGTTAGGACTTGTGACTCATGAGGGATATGATCAGGGTATTGGAGTGGGATGGAAAAAAAAAAAGATACTTGTCTTTTTATATTTTGTATTTTAAGTTTATTTAAAAATTATACTTTTATTTTTTATCTCATTAAATATATATTTTTAAATTAATTTTAATATTAAAATTTATAATTTTTTATAGTTAATTTTTTATTTTAACCTTAAAAATATCTAAAATACCTTTAAATAAAAACATAAAAAACTTTAAACTCACAATTTTGACTTTAAAATATGTAAGATACCATTCAAATGAGTTTTTTTGTGTTATTAGTTTTTAATTATTATAATATTAGAAATTTTTAGTTTTTTCTCTTTTTTTATGATAATTTATTCATTTTAAAAGTTAAAATTAATTATTATTGGGATAAGACATAAATTTATATATTTAATTTAATTTAAAAGTATATATTTAATGAGATTAAAAATTGAAGATATATATTTTGAATAACTTAAAATACAATGTATAAAATTATAAATATCCCAAAAATGTTTGAATTTTATTTTTAATTTTAGTGGGTCCCACAAACTTAAAGCATGTAAAAACCGTTCATTTTACCGATTCGAGTTTTTCTACAGTAAAAAGCTCTTAGAAACAGTCACATCTAACTTTTTTGTTACAGTAAAAAACTCTCATATAAAATCACATTTCAACTCAAATTAAAAACTCGAATCAGTGAACTAAACATGTCAGTAAAGAACGAACTCAAAAGGCCCACGTTGAGAGCCAGTTCATGTGTTGCGGAGGCCTCCATGTCGATAGCCACATCAGATGGTGAGGGCACCGCTGGTGCTCATGAGATTATGGAAAGTTGTAAATAATACATTAGAAAAATGTTAGGGCTGTTTAGTTATTTAATTTAAGTTGAGATGCAATTTTATGTGATAATTTTGTATTATAATAAAAAAATTAAAAGTAATTGTTGAGAATTTTTTAATGTAATAAAATTAAAATTCTAAACTCAAATCAATAAAATAAATGAGATCTAAAAAGCACAAAACACTGTCATTTAGGCCACATTTATTTAGAATTTGAGTTTTATTAGAGTAAAAAGCTTGCAGAAACAGTCACATGTAATTTTTTTGTTACAGTAAAAAACTCTCACATTAGCCTCGTTCGCTGAGATGTGACATTTTCTGTAGCATAAAAAGTTAGATGTGTCAATTTTTGAGAACTTTTAACTGTAGAAATCTAGAATTAAAAACTCAAATTGGTGAAATAAATGAGACTAAAATCACATTTCAATTCGAATTAAAAACTCAAATTAGAGAACTAAACAGACATTTAATAAAAGATGAGTTTTATCTACAGCTCCGTTTATTTTACTGATTCGAGTTTAGAATTTGACTTTTATTATAGTAAAATTCTTTTAAAAATAATCACATCTAATTTTTTTATTATAATAAAAAATTTTCATATAAAATCACATTTTAAATCGAATTAAAAACTCAGGTGAACTTTCGTCTCACACTTCAAATGCACTTTTTATTAGATGGTTAAATGCATTTTTTATTACACGGTGGTCATACAGTGCCACGTAGCATACTCAAATAACCTAAAGTGGGGTCAAGTAAAAGTCAAACCCCAATCTATCCCCTCCCTCCTCTCTCCACTCCAGCTAAAACCCCTCTCTCTCTCTCTCTCACACTCTCTCTCTCTCTCTGCAACTCACTCTTTCACAGTTTCACTGTACACTGTCCATGGCGTTCGCCTTCCTCTCTTCTCCGCATCTTCTCACTGCTCAACCTCCCTTTCTCTCTCCAAAACGCCACCACAGCTTCCTCAAACCCCGCCCTCTCTCTCTCCCCTCCCGCCCACTCCCTCTCTCCGCAATTGGCCCCGACGGCAAGTTCTACCCCGACCCCGCCGACGACGACCCTCCCGAAGTCCCCGAGGACGCCGGCCATGGCGTCTCCAAGTTCCAGCAGATCGAACGCCAGGCCTCCCGCGCCCGCAAGCTCGAGGAGGAGGAGTTCAAGAAGCACCAGTCCACTTTCCTCTCCGCCATCGCCGACGTCGAGGACCCGCCCGAAACCCCTAGGTCCATCTACGACGAGAGCTCCGGCGGCGATTTGTTCGGCGAGATCGATAAAGCCATCGCCTTGAAGCGCAAGGAGTTCGTCAAGCAGGGCCTTTTGAAGCCGAATCCGAAGAAAGAGGACGTTGAGGTAATCGGCGAGTTGGACCCCGAGGAGGTCGATGATTTGGAGGAGATTGACGAGCTTCAGGGACTTACAGTCGGTTCCGACGATGCGGATTCCGATGATTCGGAGAATTTCGACGACGAGGTTGGTGAATTCAGTTCTAATGATCGTAATTCGTCTTTTGGTTCTTCGTTTGATTTGGATTTCGATAGTTATGACAAATCTATGGCTAGAATTGTTGAGCCTAAGTTTAAGATTAGCTTGGCTGAGCTTTTGGACGAGAGCAAGGTTGTGCCTGTGTCTGTTTATGGTGATTTGGAGGTGGAGATAACTGGGATTCAACACGATTCTAGGTTGGTTAGCTCGGGGGATTTGTTTGTGTGCTGTGTTGGGCGAAAAACTGACGGGCATTTGTATTTGAGTGAGGCTGATAAGAGAGGGGCTGTGGCTGTTGTGGCTAGTAAGGAGATAGACATAGAGGAGACCTTGGGTTGTAAGGCGTTGGTGATTGTGGAAGACACCAGTGCGGTGCTTCCCACGTTGGCGGCGGCATTTTATAGGTTTCCGTCGAAGAATATGGCGGTGATTGGGATAACTGGGACTAACGGCAAAACGACCACCACTTATTTGATTAAAAGCATGTATGAATCAATGGGGTTGAGGACCGGGATGTTGAGCACGGTTGCGTATTATGTGCATGGGGACAACAAGTTGGAGTCTCCGAACACGACGCCAGATGCTGTTTTGGTTCAGAACTTGATGGCAAAGATGCTGCATAATGGAGCTGAAGCGGTTGTCATGGAGGCTTCTTCGCATGGGTTAGCTCTTGGGAGGTGCAATGAAGTTGATTTTGATATAGCGGTCTTCACGAATTTGACAAGAGACCATTTGGATTTTCACGGGTCTGAAGAGGAGTATAGGGATGCTAAGGCAAAATTGTTTGCGAGAATGGTGGATCCAGAACGACATAGGAAAGTTGTTAATATCGATGACCCAAATGCATCTTTTTTCATTGCACAGGGGAATCTGGATGTTCCAGTCATAACTTATGCGATAGATTATAAGAAAGCGGATGTGCATCCTCTTAAGTTTGAACTCTCCCTCTTTGAGACACAGGTTTTGGTTAACACCCCTCAAGGTATATTGGAGATATCATCAGGTTTGCTTGGAAGGCATAACATTTACAACATTCTGGCTGCTGTGGCAGTTGGGATTGCGGTTGGGGCACCTTTGGAGAACATTGTTAGAGGGATTGAGGAGGTTGATGCGGTTCCGGGAAGGTGTGAGTTAATAGATGAGGAACAGGCATTTGGGGTGATAGTAGACTATGCTCACACTCCTGACGCCTTGTCTAGATTACTGGATTCCGTAAGGGAGCTAGGAGCAAGGAGGATTATCACTGGTATTCTTCTTGCCTCTTTTATTTTTTTTATTTTTTATTTTTTAGCTCAAAGAGTATTATGTCGCTTTTTGGAGCTTGGATAACTTTCTGATTGCATTAAATTGCAGTAATGAGTTGAATAATTAGGTTTGATGAGATGGAATTGTCTTTTGTTACATCTCCAACTTTCTCTATTTACCATGCAGTTATTGGTTGCGGTGGCGAGAGGGACAGAGGGAAAAGACCCATGATGGGAAAGATAGCAACTGATAAGAGTGATGTCACGATTCTGACATCTGACAATTCAAGGAATGAGGATCCCTGTAAGTACAGCTAAGATAACTCATACTGGCTGTAATTAGTATCTGTTTGATTTTCGTTGAAAAAAGAAATGGCGGCACTTATATTTTTGGTTGATGCCAGCCTTCTCTATGCATTCCAGTGTCATTTAATTATGTAAATTATTGGAGTCTTAACAATTTGCACATAGTGATGATAATTTTGCCGTGCACCTCATTGGTGAAATGGAATTAAAATACTAGGATAATATTTACTACTTTAGTAGGAATAGGATAATCAATTGCTTGGTATAATGATACTAAATTGTGCATTACTTCTCATCAGTGGACATCTTGGATGATATGTTGGCTGGCGTAGGATGGACAATGCAGGAATATTTGAAATATGGAGAGAACGATTACTACCCTCCTCTTCCCAATGGTCATAGACTTTTCCTTCATGATATTAGAAGAGTTGCTGTGCGCTGTGCTGTGGCCATGGGCGAGGAAGGTGATGTGGTTGTAAGTTCTTGAAACCCGTCTTAGTCTATTTTCAAGCTTCATGTATAAACACCAGAAATGTGGTTATAAACTTACAACTCTGCTGGAAATGCTCTCCAATTCAATATAATTTTTTCCTTTATAACTTGGATTTTGCTGGCACACTGCAGGTGATTGCTGGCAAAGGTCATGAGACATATGAGATAGAAGGTGATAAAAAGGAGTTCTTTGATGATCGAGAAGAGTGCCGAGAGGCATTGCAGTATGTCGATGAGCTTCACCAAGCTGGAATAGATACTAGTGAATTCCCATGGCGGTAAGATGATTATTTTCTTTTACTAAAACTTGCTTCAATGTTGTGGAGCTCATACATTTAGTTTCCCCGTCCCTTGCCTTATTCATTAGGAGGGAAAAAAAAAAAGAAAAGAAAAGAAAAGAAAAGATGCTCGGCTTAAGGGTTTGTCTTTTAATTTTTAATATTATATGGTGCGATGCTCACTGCATATGGGATATGGCATTTTCAATGATGTTGGAGATTTTATGGTCTTTGGCACACGCTTATCTGGGCCTTGTAACAATTGATAATTAACTCTACACCTTTTGTTCACTATTTAAATGCCTCGAAAAGAAATAAATGTTCATTTTTATTCATTTCAACATTCAACTGTCCAGAATGAACCGGAAGTGAGATAGAGGTGGATAAGAGAAAACACAGTCACAAACTCACAAATGTTTCTTTGGTATTCTGATGCAGGTTACCGGAGAGTCATTAAGACATTTGAAAAGGAACGTAGGAAATTGAGGCTACCTGAAGAAGCAATACTAGTGCATTATGCTGATGATTGCATTATGTGCGGGAGATTCGTTTATTCTTTCCAACAGTTTGAAATCTGAGAACCATGCAGGTTTCTGTTGGTTTGTTGCACGCATGATGTAGTTTATGCAAAGGCACTTGTTAATGGCTCCTTGGATAGGGAACGGTAGGTACTCCACAATTAGCTGTCACATATATTATACATACATATATATATACACACACACATATATGTACACACACGTGTGTGTGTGTATAAACATTGCGTTTAATTGAGACTTTCTGTAAATACAGGTTGGTTTATCTTTGTCCTCTGAAGCATAGAAAGCTGAAGCTTTTGAGTTTTGACCTTACGAGTTAGAAGGTACAATTTTGTACGCACGTATACGTAGGATTGTATTGCTATGTAAACTGAATACTCAGTGAGAGAGAGCTAATGTGGTACGTTTCCAATTGGTCAATCCAATTCTTAAATACTGTAATTAAATAATATATTGCGTTTACATTCACGTCTAAAGGTAAAGATAGAGCAGTTCATGTTTCTATGAACGTGTTAAGTATTAACTTAATGGACGAACAATTTTGTGCATTTCTTTATTGTTTGATGGTCATTGTTCAAAGCATCAATGTATTCAACATCAAATTGAGGTGTCCAAGCCTTGAAAGAAAATTATTATACATTACAAGATGGAACCCGCAACCTCCTCTCAAACCCCATCTCATTCAAACCCCTGTGCCACTGGACCGGTCTTAGATCAATTATCAGAGCAAAAGAGAGGAAGAAAAGAAGTCTGATTGCAAGACTAGCCTTTTACTCCTTTTTCAAATATATCTTATATTATGGATTGGCAAGTGAGTTGTTTTTTAATTTAGTCCACTAAGTTTAATGGAACTTTTTTTATGGGAAACTTATAATTTTATAGGGTTATTTTTCGGTACGTTAATATATCGGTAGATTAAGTTTTTTGTCCGTCAGATCTGTATAAAATCACGTAAAAATTAAAAAATATGTAAATTTAACGGTTAAAAAAACATAATCTACTGATACGTTAAACGCACTAACGCACTAGATAGAGTAATTTTATATTGTTACGGTCACTTTCCACAAATGGAGTAAATTTTTCCACGGGCTGTATATGGTTGTGTTCATTGTGTTTGCCTACCTCTTTTTGTGCAAAGAAGGAAGCTAGGCTACAAGTCTACAACTCACACTTGGTTTCCAAAATAGGAATATCTTTTATTATATGTATCATTTCCAATTTTCAAGGTCCCCAATCTCGGATTCGTGAAACAGCCTATAATAAAACAGCTGCCATGGAATTTTGTCTTTTGCTAGCTGTAATACGATCAACTCCAAATTCTCGTGTATCGAGCATCTAATAATAACCACATCATTTTTATCTTCGAAAACCGGTCATTATTATTATTATTATAAAAAAAAAAAACAAGAGCATTTCCTATCAACAAACATAAGATTTCATGTCAAATTTTTTTTTTTTTCAATTCATATAGCCTTGTTTTATTTTGAATACTTCTAAACATTCCTGTAGGGTAGGTGTGGGGACGTGAAATTGATGGTAAGTCCCACAATTTATCCCAAATCCCAATTCAATTTCATCCAAGGGTGAAGCATTTTCCTTAAAATTTGTATAATCTTGTTTTATTTTGAATACTACTAAACATTCCTATTCAAGTTGGTGTGGAGATGTGAAATAGATGGCAAGTCCCACAATTTCTCTCACATCCCGAATCAATTTCATCTTAGCGTGAAGCATTTTCTTTTTATTTTGCATCAAAGTCGCAATGTTTTGGCACCCTTACCTCATCGGAAGCGTTCATTTTTTTTCAGAAATAATAAAAAATATGGCAATATTAAAAGTTTAAGAAAGTATATAGGTCAATTTTTAATTATAAAAATTAATAGGCCATAACTTGTTAAGTTATGATTCATAACCAGACAAGTTATGGATAAAAATAGACAATAACTTGTCAAGTTATGGTTCATAACCAGATAAATTATGAATAAAAATAGTAATTTAGCCTATTTATTAACTTATGTAAACTATTGACCTATTAATTTTAATTTATCTCAAATCTTGACCTATTTTTCTCTTTCTCCCTTTTTTTTTTTTACTAAGAAACAAAAAATGTCATTTTTAGGAAATACTGTGAAAAACGGAGAGGAATCCGAACTCATTTTAAACCTAACAAAAACTCCAGTAAATTTGCATTTCGACTTTATTTTAGAAGGCAATAAATAATCTATTATAGAAAAAAGATAATAATAAACAATTTCATCATATTTTAAAATAATAAAAAAAAAGAGACCGACAAGAAAACATGAGAAATATATGGTCAAACATACTATGTTACCAATATGAGAAATGAAGCGTTTGGTAATAATATGTACAAATGCATTCTTTTCTGATAAAGAGATATTAATTTGTGATTTTAAGTACATTTTACAGTTTAATTATTTTCAACAAAACAAAAGAACAATAAGATACAAAACTTTTTATCAACATTGTTAAAGCAATCTTTTTTTTTTTTTTTTTTTTGATATAGGAAAAAAGTGGTTGAGGTCTGCCAATTATCCACCCACCAATTGCAGACCAACTTATTGGAAAGAGAGAAAACTCCATAACTTTTCTCTGCCACTCTCCAGACTCCACCGAATCACTGACTCACTAGATGCAGCAAACAGTCCACACATGGAAACAACATTCTACACAATCTTAGACAAAAGAATATTGTTTTCCCTTTTGGGGAGGCCAAGTTGGAGACATAAATAGTCACTACACAAACTCCCAAACATTTTTTTTTCCTCTTTCTTTTGAGACAGATGTTGTGAGTTTATGGATGATGATCAGAACTGGAGTTTCAAACAAATTCCAATCCAACTGATATATGGTGAGGAAAATATCTCTTCAAATGTATATATATATATATAGACCCAATATATATGGCGCTTTGTTTCTTTTTCATTTTTTTTTTGGGTTTGGTGTGTTTTGATATATATATTATTTTTGTTTCTTTGATGCTCTTTTGCCAGATTATTTCTGTTTGGGTTTCTGGGTTTGTGAGACTTTGCAACATACTATTGTTTTGATGTATGCTTTTTTTATTATCTCAACTGTTTGATGAGAACTGATCATCGATAAAAACTTTATTCAACTTCATGAGTTATGGTTGATTTTTGCTAATTCCTTTGATGCCCATTTTTCTGGTTCTTCTGGTATTTGAGTTCCGGAGTTTCTTAGAATATTCTGTAGAGTGTCAGACTAAAGTGAACAAATAAAAACTTTTTATGTTCCTCTGTATAGTTTCTGATATATATATATATATATATATATATATATATATATTGGATATCTAATCTATCTGTCTAGTTTCTTCTTTTCCTGCCTTCAGTTACATTTTATATAAAATTACACTTTTGAAAGTAAGTTATTGTGATTAATGCTCTACTTCCTTTCCACATTCTGATTGATATGTGCTTGTACTATGCAAGATGGGAGAAAAGAGAAGCAGATGAAGATATCAGATTCCCCAAGTTTCTCTCTTTTCAGAAGTTCAAGTTAGGAGGTTGACTACTTTTGTTCATGCTTTAGTTTGAAGGGCATTACTGTTGTTAAGCAATTTGATTATATTCTGGCGGTTTTTAACAGACGCGGTGTGATCCAAAGGCGGCAAAAACTGCGGTTCTTTTGTTGTTTTGTGGCTCTAACATGGGGAATGAAACAAAATTTAAGCAGAACTTAAAGCTGAGAAGAAGAGAAAATGACTCTGATTCTCTTAGTAATGACTCAAGATCGAGTTTAAGTAGCGCGTCAACTCGCAAGAAGCATAAACTGGTTTCCAGTTTGATTTCGCTCGACAAGGGTGAAGCCATGAATAATGGTAGAGTCCAGAAGAATGTCAAGATTGGCCTTTCTAAGAATAGGCAATTACATTTTGAGAAGGGGAAGAGAAAACGTATTGAAAGGACTTCAAAGAACACTTTACCTGACTTGAAGAAGGATTCTAGTAGAGAAAAGGGTACCGAAACTAGCGGTGATGAGTTCGCTGCTGTAGATGATGTCAAATTCTTTATGAAGTCCTTGTTGGAGGATCTTAAGGTGGGAAGAGAGAATTTGTTTGAGTGGATGAAAGAGGAAATGCAAAAGTTGGTGGTTGATGATGCAGATATTCAGCGGGAAAAGAGAGAATTCAGACACAAAAAGAGAAGTGCCCAAGTAGAAGATCAAGGCAATTTTGAGAACATTGGACTTCATGATCAATATAACTTTAAGGAGGAGAAAAACCAAGTGCATCACCAAAAGAGCGTAAGAAAAAACAATTTAGTTCGGCATCAGAACAGCTTCAAGGAGGATGTTCCTATGCAGCATCAAAACAAACTTCAGGGTGCAAGAGTGCAGCATCCGAAAGATTTCAAAGAAAATACAAATGTGCAGGCTCAAAACAATTTCGAATCCGGGATTAGAGAACAGACCAGCAGTGATGGATCTTCAGAGAGGACCACCGAGAGCAACGAGGATTCGGGTTTTGATCATTGTTATCAGACACTAGAAGACTTGGAGGATTATGCCCAACCCGCTAGAGGAGAAAGCTTGTCATGGCCAGCCAACCATAGTACCCAAATGCATCACCAAAAGAACTTCCTATCTTGTAGAAAATCTGAAGGCTGCAATGGTGGAACTTTAGTGAACTTTGTGGAAGGGAAAAGGATGCCTATTTCTAGTTCCCTTGAAGCGCCCGAACATCGGGGTACTTATGATCAAGAAATCGAATCCATTACTTCATCTCTAAAGGAAAATGGAGAGGACTTGGGAGTCTCTATTGAGTCAAATATCACATTTCATCCTTCCAATCAGGCAGATTCTTCCATGCACTTAATGCTGCCCACCGCATTAACTGGACAGCCTTGTCTTGAGAGTCATAGACTTGGCATTTCGTCTGATAATTATATTCAACCATCTGGAAACAGAAGAATTATAAATTTTGGAGGTGCAGATCATAACGGATATTTTTCGGGCGTGCAAACGGGAGAACCAAAGAGAAGCTTTGCTAGACTATGTTTTGGAAATGTGGGCTCTTTTGTCCAAAAGAGCACACCAAATTCAATAATTGGAACTGACTTTCCTGTTTCTCTTTCTCAGAGTACAGATACCAGTTTTAATACTCCGAGAAACGAGTTCATTATCGACCGAGATAGAAACAACATATCGAGTTTGAAGATGGATGTGGGAGCCATAAACTACTCTGGAGGAAGCTATGATTTATCAGAAAATCATGTTGCCAACAAAGTTTATCAGCCATTCAAATAGAAAAAGCTCATACTTGGCTTAACTCATTCTCAAATCCCAAGCCTCAGAGACAAGGTATTCTTCCAAAGTAGTTAAGTATCATTGAACACAACAGGAATCAAACTCCTGTACTGGACCTCTAAGAAAAACAGCACATGACACATTTCTTAAGGTCTTTTTTTTTTTCCAAATTTATTGAATTTTTTTGAATGCTCTCAGTTTGGAATTTTTACGTTTCATTTTCAGGAACATTCACTAATTTTCTTTGTTCTAGAGGTGTAACTTGGCATACCCTGATTGTCCCGAGTAGAACAATTAAAAGAAGCATCCTATCACAGTTGAGATTTGCAGCCAATCTTTTTTCTCCATTTTGAGCATACCCTTGAGTTGTGTTACTGAGTCAATAATAATTTTTGTTTGTGGGAATTTTCTTATTAATTTGGGTTTACCTTTTTCATGAGGAAAAGTAATATATATATATATATATATATATATTAGTACTAAGGTTTCCTTGTTCAAATTTGAATATGGGAACTGAATGGTATCTGTTCTTTTAAAAATTCTACAATCCATTATCTGATTCCCTTCCTTTAAGCAGAATCTTTATCTCTCTGCCACTATGGAGATATGGCTAGGATAAAAAGAGCTGCTCAAAGCCTCATAACCAGCTTTTAAGATTGCCATGAAAATGCGATTTGAGAACCTTTTTTCAGAACAAGTATCTAGACGAGTTTAATTCTCGTTCCTATTGACATATATATATTCTATTGAAAAGGCAATTGGTGGCGAATAAAAAAATAATAATTTATTGTGTTCTATAATGGAAAGAGCAAAATTGGCTTGTCATTTTAAGTTTTCAGTAAAATTGATAAACTCACATCGTGTCACAGTTTTCAGGTCTTGAGAAGCAGTTCAAGTAGGAAAATAGCAAAATCAATAAACTAATAATAATCCAAGGGATATGTATGTAGCCCTCCACAACTTTTTGTTTCGTTTCTCTAGAAGTAGTTACAATAGTCCAGCCAGAATGGCTTCTTGTGTCACTTTTATTCCAAGCTTTTGTTTATAAAGGGTGTCTTTTTTCCTTCCCCAAGGATTAAATAAACGCCAATTTATCTTTTTCTTGATGGGGATTAACAATGAACTTAAATGTTTTTTTGTTTTTTTTTGTTTTTTGTTTTTGTTTTTTTTTTTTACTCCTGTCTCATTATGGAATATATGGTTAGATTTTTAGCCCCATACTTTATAGAATCACACAAAATAGATTACCTACACATCATGTCAGCCAACTGTTAGATATACCAGAAAGTAATAGCTGTGGATAATGTTGGAGAGATGGTGGGGCTGAACTGTCTATGAAAAGAGGCAGAAATTCATGTTGTCACATTGTCAATATTCACTAGATATAGGAATATAAATTCACCTTTTCTATCATTTTCTTTCTTCCCTATTTGGGTTTTCACTTTTTTTCTCCTCTTAACAAAAGAATGAGATCAATAACATATTCACGTCTGAATTGCGCTTTGTTTTGAAAACTTCACTCGCAAGGTCAGGCATATAGTTTTGTTGACATGGAAACAATATGGGCTTGAAAATAAACATAAGATTATCCCTCCATGTAAAAAATTGTAGAAATAGTATATGAGTCTGAGTTTTTACTCTTTACTTTTGATAAATACTTTTTCGTTATTGTAATTATTTGACTAAACAGATTATGAATTAATAATAAATGATAAAAATTTTAACTCATACATTTTTAAAAAGTATTTGTCAAAATTATCCTCGTCTATGACGTGACTAAGGTGAATTTCGATCCGAAGTGCTGGTTTTAGTTGTATTAATACGGACACGAGATGTGGGACTGGTTTAAGATTACTGTCGCACCACATGCCATTGCTTGGTCCGAAAACAATGCATCACAAACACCATGCTTTGAACGTTCTCTTGTCGGGGGCTTGTGTGAAAATAATAATAATAAGTGAACTATACACGTTAATGTAATATTACAGTCGAATTTTGTAAAAGTGTTTATTTTATCCATTTTAAAACTCATTTTAAAATAATTTTATTTTTTGTATGAAAATAAAAATTAAAGCGTTTTCAATCTTAGATAGAAATTATTTTTAAAAATGTGTTTAGTAGTTCTATTAAGAGATTGTTTTCAGTGTAAAAAAATCAATTAATGTCTTTCTTTCTCTCTCTCTCTACTCAAGAGAGGAGAAAATAAAAACAAAAAATGAAAAACGATTAAAAGTCATTTTTCATTTCTCTCTCATTTTACACTAAACTAAAAAATTATTTTCATTTCTGTTTTTTATCTTTATTGCGCCAAACGTCGTTTTAAAAATATTTTCATTTTTTTTCAAAAAATGTAAAAAATAAAAACGAGATCAATTATAAACACGACCATAAAGTCATTCACAATACATCCTAATATAATTTTATAAAGATTTTATGTCAACTCTAAGGATAAGTTGATATAAAATTAAAGTCGTTCACAATGCATCTTGAGCTAATATAATTTCATAAAGATTTTATGTCAAATCGAATGACAAATTGATATAAAATTATTAGTTCGGAGACTAATTTGACTTAAAATCAATAGCTCATGTAATTATAATTAGTCTCACATTATTCTTAGTATTGTAGATTAATTTGGTTGAGATGTGTTTTGAATGATTTTATATAATTTAGAGGATAAAATTAATCATTTTAAAATCAAATGTCATATTAAATTGGGATACATGGGTTATTTATGAAAATAATCAAAAAAATAATTTAGCACGTGCCAAAGGATTCCCGTTTTGATAAATACACAAAAGAAAAGGTCCTTGAGTTGGAAATAATAAAACTACATCAACTGTAATAAAACGTATTCCCACGGGATCCCGTGAGCGGGTATATGGATATTGTTCATTTACCGGCAAAAACCGGTAACCAATCATTTTGAAAAAAAAAAAAAAAAAAAAAAAAAAAACTGACAAATTATTAACGATTAAGTCTGACAAACAATTTTGAAAAAAAAAACAAACAAAAAAGAAAAAAATTGCCAAAATGCGAATTCTGAACGACAACGTTGTAGTAAGCAGATAGATCCATTGTCTCTGTTTATTAATGTTTATGATTAACTTTAAAAATTTCATCCATCATTTTAACACTTTACTCCTTAAATTTTAAAAAATAATATCTGTTCCTCTCCATTTTTATTCCGTTAACAAGTTTTATCATTCTGTTATAGTAAATAAAAAAATTACCACGTGTCACCTATTTAATGAGAATAAAAACATAATTATGCTTATATCATCATAATCATATAATCCTAAATATTAAAAAGATAATATTACCAAAAGAAAAGATAATAAAAAAAACTCAAACGTTTTCTCTCTCTTTCTTCTTCTTCTTCTCACTCCCTCATCTCATCTGTACATTTGCTCTTCAAAAAAAAAAAAAAAATGCTCTCCAAAATACTCTCCAATAGAAGTTTTTTAGTTTCAACTTGTAATTGATCAGATTATTCCCCCATTTTTATTGAAAACCCTACTTGACTATTCTCCTTAAATCATCATTATCATCATCATTTTCTTCTTCTCCTTTCAACCCCATTTTCAGGTCCAACTCATTTCCAAGTCATCTACTTTCTTAAGCTAGTGTTTTGAATAACAACATCAGCATCAGTTATTGGTCTTCTTTATACAATTCTACAAGTGAAAATCTCGTCGAAGAAATATTCTCTCCGATAAGTGCGTATTTCGGGTCGTCTGAGGATGTTAATTATGGGTTGAAGCATCTATGGACCTGTTCAAGATGTGAGAATCCCATATCAGCAAAAGCAGATGTTTGGATTTGTTACCTTTGTGTATCCAGAGATTGTGAAGCTCATTTTGGCTAAAGAAAATCCACATTTTATTTGTGATTCTTGGGTGCTTGTTAAGCCTTACAAAGATAATGAAAAAATTGTAGAAAAGTATGAGAAAAGTTACTCTTATTGATCTCATATGATTTTCTTATAATAATACTTTTTTTAGATGAATTATGTACTTGACACGTGATAATTTATGTCACTTATTATAATAAAATGATAAAATTTATTAACGAAATAAAATTTAAAGAGAATATATGTTATTCTTTAAAATTTAAAGGGTATAGGTCTATAGGGTGAGAAATTTTTGAAATTAATCTAAATGTTTATTTACGTTTTCATTACTTTATTAAATTTTTGTCTTTTTATAGCTTTTTCTCCGGAACCCAACATTGAATAATAGCAAGTAGTAATCTTTTTTTTTTAATTTTTTGGTTTCACTTCTCATGAGAACAATTACAAAAATCTCTGGCTTTCCCCTTATCTAAGAGAGAAAACCCATTTGGGTGCTCAGAAAATCTCGTGGAGGAGTTGAAGAATCCATGGATTTGCAGAGAATTCGGAGGAGATTTTTGGTCTCAGTTCTGATGCTACTGGTTTATGCTTCTTGTTCGGTGAAAGCTGGGGATATTGTGCACGACGATGACAAAGCTCCCAAGAAGCCCGGTTGTGAGAACGACTTCGTTTTGGTACATCAAATTCTGCTCTTTTCCTTTTGCCCATTTCTTGTTTTCGTGTTTTGACTACTGGGTCTTGCTCAAATTTCACTCTTTTTTCTTCAATTCGTTTTTGGGTTGTTGTGTGATTATTGTTTAGTTGCGGAAGAAACTGATGACAGTGATTCTAATTTCAGTTGTGCTTTAAAGAAGTAAGAATTAACCTGGTTGTTCATTTGATTTCTTAGGGTTTTAAGCTTGTAATTGATAAGAAGTTGTAAGTCTTAACAGACGAACCAGTCAGACAATGTGGTTTTGGGAGATTAAAACTAGGAGCTTAATTTGATGATGAATTGTATGGTAGTTTTCTGATTGTAGAATATTGGATTTAGGGTTGGTGAAGCTTTATTCCATATGCGTTAATGGATTTTAGTGTGTTCATTTAAATACCCAAAAATTAATTTGTCATTTCTGCCGTTTATTTTAGGTGAAAGTGCAAACTTGGATTGATGGGGTGGAGTCCAGTGAACTTGTTGGTGTTGGTGCTAGATTTGGCACCGCCATTGTGTCAAAGGAAAAGAATGCAAACCAAACTCGCCTTACGCTTTCGGACCCTCGTGATTGTTGCAGTAAGCCAAAGAAAAAGGTATTTCTTGTCAAACTACATACTCTAGAGATTTGTCTGAGGGTGTCAACTCTCAACCCATTATAGCAAATATGTTATTTGTTATGAAATATTCGCCCGCACGTGTGTAATTTGGACTTTTTAGCTTGCTGGAGATGTCATCATGGTAGATCGAGGTAAATGCAAATTCACAACTAAGGCAAATGTTGCAGAAGCGGCTGGTGCTTCAGCCATGCTCATTATAAACAATCAGAAAGGTAAATTGGCATGATACATGTCTGTTGCTAGAAATTTTTCGTTATGGCCTAGGGACAGCTTCATTTTGTTTAATACATATTAAAGCCATTCCTTTTCTCTTGCAGAACTTTACAAGATGGTTTGTGATCCAGATGAAACTGATTTGGATATACACATACCATCTGTCATGCTGCCGCAAGAAGCTGGTGTGAGCTTGGAAAAAATGCTAATGAACAGTTCATCGGGTAAGTTTTTTTTCTTCCGCAAAATGATTGTAAAGAAACAAAGTTTATTTTTGAAATTTTATTTATGTGTCTTTATCATGGGGATTGATTCGTGTAGTTTTCTACAAATTAAGTAGTCTGGTATACCATACCGTTTACACATTCTACCTCTTATCTAAGGGTGGCCATTCGGGTTGGTAGGATATAAATAAGTGATCTTGACTCAAAGGAAATTAAAAGTACCCAATTCCTGTCAATTTTAATACCACTTTCTTCATGTCAAACTGTGATTGCCAACAATTCTTGTTTAGTGCAGATGCTTAATCAAGAACTGTAGCCTGTTTAGTGCAGGAGCTAACTTGTTGACATGGTGACCTTTATATTAAATACAAATTTGGCCTAGATTTAACTTTCTTGATGCAATAAATGAGAGAATTCTAGTGCTTTTAAGCTTGCATTTGAATCTTAACATCACTTAACATCTACATCGACTCAAAACTCAAGTGTAGAAACTTGTGTTGGTTCAATTTATTTTGATGGTTGTATCACCCTTATTTTAATCGTCATTAAAAGCTCCTTATTGTTCCCTTAAGCAGTGTTTGTGCAATTGTACTCTCCACGACGTCCTGTAGTCGACATTGCAGAAGTATTTTTATGGCTGATGGCAGTTGGTACCATCTTATGTGCATCTTATTGGTCTGCATGGAGCGCCAGAGAAGCAGCTATTGAACATGACAAGCTATTAAAGGTTACTCTCTGCCGAATGAATAGATCTAGCTTTATGCACACAAACACAATAGACATAACACGTGCGTACATAGGCACACCTCTTTGCACATAAGCTTTTTTGAATCTGCTTCAGAGCTTTGTACTTTTTACTGATTTATGACCTTATGCTGTTATTTCAGGATGGTGCTGACGACATTCCAAGTGACAAAGCTGTGGGTGCAGCCACAGGTGGTGTAGTAGACATCAGCACAATGTCAGCGGTGTTTTTTGTTGTTATTGCTTCATGCTTTTTGGTCATTCTCTACAAGCTAATGTCACTCTGGCTGGTTGAGATTTTGGTTGTCCTTTTCTGCATAGGTGGCATAGAGGTATAAGTTCCCCACCATCTTTAGCTCTTGTATATGTTTCCATTCATGTATATGTATCTGCACAATCCTTTTATAACTTGAATGTTTTACATGTGTGTGATAAAAAAAAGGTGAATTCTCCAAATTTGCGGTTCTACTATTTGGAAAGTATACAGAATACAAGCTGGACATTAATAGTTCCGGCTTATTCCTTTTTCTGATTCTCTTGTTTTTTATTCTATTTCCTTGGTCAAATCTAACTTCTAGTTTCCTTATATGCAGGGTTTGCAAACTTGCTTGGTTGCTTTGTTATCTAGGCAAGTTTGTCTCCTATTAAGATAAGACTTGAGTGCAATGAATATTCCATTTGATAATATGATATTTACCTAGGCCAAAAAAAAAACTATTTTCATATCATAAAACTAGCGGGGCAAGGCTTACACGTTAAATGATTTTGCACCAAAACCTATGTGATATGTAATAGATGGTTTGTCAGTTAATTGCCTTCTGTATGGCTGAGATATTTTGACAGTACGTCTCAAGCTTCAGGCTAAATGTGCGTGCCTGATGCTTCTCCAGGTGGTTCAAACATACTGCAGAATCATACGTTAAAGTGCCCATCTTGGGAGCCGTCTCATACCTTACATTGGCTGTTTCTCCATTCTGTATAGCATTTTCTGTTCTCTGGGCAGCTTTTCGCGACATCTCCTTCGCTTGGATAGGTCAAGATATCCTTGTAAGAAATATTCTCTATTTAAGAAATTCTCCCTAGAAATTTAAATGCTAGTGGCTTACGTCGGTATGCTAATTCTTGCTTTCACTCCATTGTTTTTTAATCAGGGCATTGCGCTGATCATCACGGTTCTTCAAATTGTCCGTATACCTAATCTCAAGGTAAAGAGCTGAAGTCATCAGGTTTACTGGTTGGTAATTACCAAGTTATGCAATTACTTTAAACTTCTTTACATCATTACCCTCTGATGAAATTACTTGATTGTAATAATGGCTATGATTTAAAGCAGTCAAATTATCAGAGGTGCATATGTTGTGTCCAATACAAATCTCTCCTTTAAAATGTTTCACAACTGAAGTTTGCACTTCAAGAGCCTTTTATGGTACTTTTAGGGAACATGATTTACAGTTAATATTTATCATCTAGTGTTAAAAAAATGAAGCGTTATGTACTTTTAATAAATTTGTCTGAAGTTCATATGTCCTTCAGTCCTTGTTGTTAACTGCCAACTGATATGCACGGGTTTGTTAATCAGGTTGGTACAGTTCTTCTCAGTTGTGCCTTCTTGTACGACATCTTTTGGGTGTTTGTTTCCAAAAGATTGTTCCATGAAAGTGTGATGATTGTGGTAAGTTGTCATTATAACTTTTACTCTATGCGAAATCACGATAAGTATAAATTTTGTGCTTTTACTTGACATGCTTAAGAGCTGTTTCTCTTGTTATTTTAGGTGGCTCGTGGTGACAATAGTGGAGAGGATGGTATTCCAATGCTACTAAAAATCCCACGCATGTTCGATCCATGGGGCGGTTACAGTATCATAGGATTTGGCGACATCCTACTACCAGGACTGGTTGTGGCATTTTCACTTAGGTTCGATCTCTTCTGCCATCTCTTACTCAATCTGTCATTGACACCGTTATTTTTCTTATGTCCTAATGTAGAAATGATAATACTTGTCCATTTTTGTCATCGTTAATTTGTGTAGTGGCAGACGTAGATATTTCTTCTCTGCAAACGGGTATTTGAACTTAGAAAGTCTCCCATTTTTTCTCGGTTAAAAAAAAAAGAAAAAAAAAAAAAGAAGGAAAAGAAAATCAATAAGGAAAAGAGAAACCAAAACTTCTAAAATGTTCTCGGTTTCTCAATCCACCCTTTTCAGTACTCAGGTTTTTCTTGCTATCTTCTAATTATAACGACATTTTGGGATGTTTATATCTGATCAACTCCGTTCATATAATGTTGCAGGTATGATTGGCTGGCAAATAAGACTCTCCGAGCCGGTTACTTCTTCTGGGCAATGTTTGCCTACGGATTCGGTAAGAAAGAAGAAACAGATCAGTATCAAATACCAAGAACTACAAAGATACCAAGAACTACATGCTCTATGTATTGACTTAATAAGTCGTATACTTACCACTTCCTGAGCTTCCTTTATGCTTATCCTTTCGAAACTGGCTGCAGGTCTTCTCATTACATATGTGGCATTGAACTTAATGGACGGCCATGGCCAACCGGCGCTGCTTTACATCGTTCCCTTCACGCTCGGTAAATTCTCTATACCACAGGCAGTTATCTTTGTTGAGATAGTGGAGCTCCATATGGCTCTTTAGCTTGAAACAAACTGTTGACAAATGGACACATTTGTGCAGGAACCTTTCTGACTTTGGGAAAGAAGAGAGGTGACCTTGGGACTTTGTGGAGTAAGGGTGAACCGGAGAGACCTTGCCCCCATGTCCGACTCCAAGAGTGTCAAGAATTGGAAGAGGACAAGTAGGAGAGCTTCTTAGCTGTATAATATTATAGGTTTTGTTGGTATTTATCCTATTGCTTAGTGTTGGGAAATATATTGTGAAGCAATTCTCTCTCAAGCACACTATTGCATGACAAGCAAAAGGGTTTATGAAAGCTCGTTGCCCTTGAAAGTTGTACCGAGCTTATGAATTAGTTAATGTTAGTTTTGCCTCACAACTTCTCTTGGAAATTCCTTATTTTTGGAATCCCTAAAAAAGCAAGGAAAAAAAAGTGTGTGAAGTTGATTATCTAAAGTTCAATGTGGTGATAATTGCCAAGTGTCTACCGGGGAAAGTTAAGCTAGCTAGAATGTTATCCGGATAATATTCTATAAGGGTGACAATTTGTGTCCCGTGTCTTGTTCGTGTTGTATTTTGATCTTTTTTTTTTAAATTTACAGTCAACCCGAACACGATTCGTGATACGAATTTTTTTAAAAATTACAACATGAACACGACACGACACGATTACTTTACGGATTGACATGACACGACACGAAAATGACCGGCGATACGAAATTGACTTGTGAACATGAAATTGACACGGGAAAACCAAAATGCAGCCTCATATGTGGGGATGTGTGGTCTGTTCTTCCCTCTTTTTTTTTCCCCCTTTCCCTAAATGGAAAAAGGGGTAATTGTTGCCATTCGGTCTCCACTCCCCCTTACCTATTCGATGGAACAGAAAGGACATATTCGTTGAGTTCAATTTTTACTCGTGGGATCACAATTTGACGGTGCACAACACATTAATCGAGTAGGGTTGGGAGGTTGTGGACTAACGAATCTTGAGCGCATAATTTTTATTGCGAGAACTCAACCCTCCAAAGCCCAAAATATGTGTGTGGTTCTGGCAAAACCAATAAAATCAAAATAGTTTGGAAAACCATTTATGACTGACCGTACCAGCCTACTTGGTAAAGTTGTTCTATGTACCCTGCCCGCCATTGTATGTGACCGACTCTACGTGGTATAGATGCACAATATTATGGGTGGTAATTCGTGTCGTGTTGTGTCTGTAAATTGAAACACGAACACAACACGATTATTTTACGAGTTGACACGACACGAAAATTATCTGTGACATGAAATTGACCCGTGAATTTAAAATTGACACAAAAATTATATATTTTTATTTATTTTTTTACATATTAGAAATAACTTAAAATTCATAATACATTAAAATACAATAATATCCATTGAAATTAAACAAATAATAGTATAAGATTTTGAGTATAACTATCATGATATCACAAATTTATAATAAAATTAAAAATATGTAATGAAAAATATATGTATTTTCTAGTTTTTTACGAGTTTCGTATCGTGTTCGGGTTTGGCGGGTCCAATCCGAAATTGACCCGTGTTTTTTCGTGTCAATTTCAAGTCGACTCAATTATGATCCGAACATATTTTTTCTCAACCCTAACCCGCGAAATTCGTGTCGTTTTCGAGTCGTGTTGTCGTGCCGTGATCCATATTATTGGCCTTAATATTCTGTCCATAAACTAATAAGACTGACTTACTGATAGGATTAATTTTTAACAATTGAATTTAATCAATCACAAAAACTTAAAAAATATACAAAATAAATAATTTCTTATATAAATCTGTTGCTAAAAAATAAAATATTATTAAAAGTTTATTTTTTCCAGTCTTATTTGAGAAATTCCTTAGACTATGTTGATAAATTGATGGAAATTGGAAGTGCAACGAGTCTGACAACTTTCACTTTTTTTTCCTCTCTCTTTTGCTTAAAACAATGATCACGTAACAAAGTTTAACATATAGGGATGCGGTCATATGTATGCGATCAAACGGAAGTACTTATTCTAACAAATTGAAAACCTCCGTCGATATTTAAAAAAGACAGAGAAAACAAATAAAGTTACATTTACCTAGTTACATGCTTTTGATTATAAAAAAATGTTAGCGTTATTATTTCTTCTGTTTAATTCAAAAAGAAAATTAAAGACTTTTCCTTCTTCTTTTTTTTGATAAAAAATAACAATAAAACAAAGCTCGACCACTCGTTATAGTCTTTTAGATAGCACTCTTTTCTTGAATATTTGTTGGTAACAATGCCAAGTTTCTCAACCTTTTTTCTTTTGTTTATTTGTTTAAAGTCTCCCATGTTCAATTTAGACTTCTTGACAGCCTGAAAAGCCTTGTCAAACAGCCAATGATATCTTGACACCAAGCAAAATCTTTCGAAGTGTATCCTTTCGGTTGTTTATCATGTGATTAACACCTCTGCTCTAGACAAAAATGAAAGAAAATTGAGGTCCCGTTCGTTTCGCTGATTCGAGTTTAGAATTTGAGTTTTGTTACAATAAAAAGCTCTCAAAAACAGTCACATCTAACTTTTTTATTACAGTAAAAAGTTCTCACACAACATCACATCTCAACTCGAATTAGCGAACCAAACGGAAACTTAAACAGAGACAAAAATGAAAGGAAACTGATGTTTTATTCATTTTACCGATTTGAATTTTGTTACAGTAAAAAGCTATCAGAAACAATCACATTTAACTTTTTTACTATAGTAAAATACTTTTATATAAAATCACATTTTAACTTGAATTAAAAACTCGAATCATCGAACTAAATAGGCTCTGAAAATTCATTATTTCTCATGATTGAACCATCAGAGAAGACTCGAATCTCATACAAGAAAAAAGGCCAGTTCATAATATTCCCCCCTTAAAATATGCTCTTCACTCCTTTAAACGCACCATATTTTTTTCAAATAGAAAATTAGTCATTTTCTCCTCCCATCCTTACGCTAGGCTAGCTAAGGCTGTATTAATCACACACGGGATTGGAATCTCTAATCAATAATAAGCATATTCTCGGTGTGGAAAATTTGTTGTATTTCTTTTTTCTTAAAAAAAAGAGAGAGTTAAAGATAGTTCCGGTAATTTTAGAAGGCAGTACCGCACACGAGCTTGATTGTTTATAAAACCTATCAATCGCACGAGATTGACTCCATTAAAAGCCTTATTAAAGAAAACGAGCAATCTTACGGCCCCATCAAAATGGTAGTTCCATCTTCATAGTTTAAGACAAAAGCCGCTATCATTTTTGTTGTGAAATTGGTAAATTGTTACATAGAATTATTTATTTATCATCTTGGGATATAGAGGGATTATAGTGGTATAAATTAATCTGCCTGCCCTTTTAAGTAACATCCTACCAGATCAAGATATTATTTAACGCTTCTATATAACACCATGATTGATAATTTAACGTGCTAAAACAATCCACTTGATTAAGGGTCAGTTTGGTAGTGTTTTAGATTTTAGAAAAATTGATGTTAGTTGTGTTAAAAAAAAAAGCAGTTATTACAATAAATAATTGAATATTTGGTAAATTATAATTATATAAGTATTAATTCTAAGAGTGTTATAAGTATTATGAAAGTTTCATTAATTATACTTTAAAGTAATTACCGTATAATTTAAAAATTAAAAATCTACTTTTAATTTTAATTATAAATTCTTTAATTTTTTAAGAATCATTTTTTTTTATAATTTTTATTAAATATAAATTTCAACGGTAAATAGTTAGAAAATTAATTTTAAGCTCTAAAAAGCCAAACGTACTTTAAATCAAGCAGATCAAAAGCGGATTAAGACTTGAGAGATAGTAGAGTTGTTGGGTTTCCTAGCAAAACAAAGCAGAAGCAGACAAAAAAAGTAGTGTACCAGATTGTGACACGTGGATAGAGGATGTGGCCATGGGCGGCGAGATCTCAATTATTGGTGGAAAAGCCTCTTGATTTTAGGGTTTGATCCGCTTTCTGTTATTCTTTTTCTTTTAGTTTTTTCTTTTATGAGTTTCTCTATAGTTTTTAACCGTTTAATTTAATTAAAATTATATTAAATTATAAAAAAAATTATTATAAATTTAACAGATAAAAAATAAAAATTATAAAAGGACGTTTAGTTTTTGGATTAAAATTATTTTTGATTTATGTGTATTTTTTATGAGAGAAAATATTATAACAAATCACGAACTATGATTCGAATTAGAAGATAAATCCTCCAACCAAACAACCCATAAATAATTCAATATTTTTAGTCTTATAAAAAAATTTTCCTTATTTGAGATTAAAAAATATTTACGTCACTTTTTTTTATCGCTCTCTATATTTATTATTAAATACGTAAAATTTATTAACATAATATATTATTATATAAATAAATAATAAAATAATAAAATTTACCTATTAAATTATGAGTATAGAAAACGACCCTCAATAAGTACGATTTAGATATATGTATAACGTCTTTTACAGTTTTCAATGTCACAAACGGCTGGCGTGGGGCCAAAGGCTGCTGCAGTGGTGAGTGGAGCAGAGGAGTGAGTGCATGTGATGTGAGTTGGGGGCCAAGATAGGCATCCCAAGGGTGTGAGTTGTCTTGCATCATGACCTTACTACCCCTTTTTTGCTCACACAAATAAAGCTAAAGAAGAGAAGAGAGATTACAAATGAACAAAGATTAGGTCCACAAGGATTTGCAAAAATGTAACAAGGGTAGGACCCACTATCTATATGTACATACATATATATATATTTTTTTGAATTTCTAGTGGTCCCTACATGGCTACAACATCCATTATCTCATATTTAAATCATGCTAGGTTATGGACAACAAATTATGATAGGAAATAAAGAACAAAAGTCGTGGATAAAATCAATTGCTTTTGTTGAATTTTAAATGGCTGGCTCTTCGCCATATCTGATTTGGGAGTTGTAATCAAATTGTTAATCACCATTTCTTACATTTCAAGCACCCGTGAGATACTGTAAAACATTTATCAACGTGTGCAAATATTCGAGTGGTGAAAAAATTGTATGCCGTAAACACATTATTTAATTATGATTATGATATGATCCGATATTCATATAGATACACAAAAATCACCATTCCAATTTCCCTACTAGAAAATTCTTTGAAATTGATGTGCTTAGATAGACTAAAAATTATTTAATAATAAAATATTCTCTAATATGTTTAATATACTGATAGATCAAATTTTTTAACCGTTAAATTTACGTAATTTTTAATTTTTACGTGATTTTATAAAAAATTTAATAAATAAAAAATTTAATCTATCAGTATATTAACGTGTCGGAGAATGTTCTTAAAGAAAAAGAGACCGTCCAAAATTGAAAATTAAAACAGAATTTGCCAATGAATTCTTACCGTGACATGTCGTTTATAGTGCCGTTGCTCCCCACGTGCTGACACAGTGTTCTGGACTTTCCTAACGGTCACACTAAAACGGCTATTTCCTCTCCGCCTTTTGATTTTTGCCCTTTTCCGAATTGATGAATAACTCACAAAATTTTCTAATTATAAAAAAAAAAAAAAACTCTAATTTTTCTGTGGCCCTTGTTTTTGGCACTGCGTTAATTTATTACCTAATGACCGACTTTTTTTTTTGCAACTTTCTCCTTTTGCCCACGTCACTTTGCACGACTCTGTGTTCATTAAATAGGGAAGGGGAAAGGACTAGATGTTTTGATTACACATAAAAGTCATGAAATTCCAATGAGGAAAAGAAAAGGACCTAGCAATGTTTTACCCTATGGATTTTACTAGCTTTTGAGCTTCTCAGAAGGTAAAAAAAAAAAAAAAAAACTGCTTTTGGTTCTATGAGCAATATTTTGCAGAGATTGTGAGTTTCACATTGGTCAAATATAAAGAAAAGATTCTCAATCTACCAATGTTTTCTTTGAGTAATTTTTAGTTAGTTCACTTAACGACTTTTTGTTACTCAACGGTGACATAATTACATGGTTCATAAATGTTAGGTTTCTTTCTCTCTTTTTTTCCTTTTTGAAAGGACATAAACCTAATTAGGTTTCAGTTTAACAAGGAAAATGGAAATTACCAAACACAAAAAACTCTCTCCTCTTGGCTGATTCAAGAAGTGAAAAAGATAAAAAGGTAAAATCAAGGGGGGGCATGAAAAGAGGATTTGTTGAGTTGAAGATGATGACATGGGACCACAAACTTTATTTTTTTTCTTTTTGCCTTTCATTATTTAAATAGTGAAAACTCTACAGTATAACAAAAATCTACCTTAAACACTGTTTTAAATGTACAAATAAATATATATGAGCTTCTATCAATATAATCTTTGATTTCATGTAATAATATTCAGAAACATCAAACATGCATCCTTCAAAAAAAAAAAAAGAAGAAACGTGCATGTTAGGTACGTGAATTTGTGAACCAGAATGGCCGAGAACAAAACAAGTGACCAAAAAAGCATTAAAAATTCAAAAGTCCACAGCTTAAAATGCTTAATAACCAAAAACAAAAAAAAATAATACCAATGATGACACTCTGTAGAGGATAAGAACAACCAGCAAAATCCCAAACAATTAAAAAAGGAAAAAAGAAACACACAAACACAAATACTAAAACAGGACCTCTCTGTCAAGTGTCAACATCCCTCTGGAACCATCTTCCAAAAACCCAATTATTCTACTAAATTCGTAGGCCCGGTTCGAATTTCAGGTCCGTTTAGTTCACTTTATTTATTTAAATTTTTAATTTAAATTGAAATATAATTTTATTTAAAAATTTTTTATTATAAAAAAAATTAAATATGATTATTTTTTAAAGTTTTTTACTGTAATAAAACTCGAATCGATAAAATAAACAGGGCCTTATTACATTAAAAAATTAAGAAAAAAAAATAGACCAAGACTTAAAATGAATTAAAATTAATAGGTCAATAATTTACATAAATTAATAAACAAACAAAATTACTATTTTTGTCCATAACTTATCTAGTTATAAACCATAACTTGACAAGTTATTATCTATAATTCACAATTTTTATTCATAACTTGTCTGACTATGAACCACAACTTAATAAATTTATTCATAATTTATCTAATTATAAACTATAACTTAATAAATTATGACTTATTAATTTTTATAACTAAAAATTGATATATAACCTTTTTATATTAACTTATTTTTTACTATTTTCATAAAAAAATTTTAAAAACGATCATATTAATTTTTTTATTATAATAAAAAAATTTCACATAAAATTAAATTTTAATTTAAATTAACTAATATTTCTTAATAACGACGCCTTATTTAAAACACTAACACAATAATTAAATATATATCTATTAATTAAAAAAAAGGGCAACTCATTTACCCTTTGGGCAATGATAGGCTAATCAGCTATAAAAGTGACCTCCTCTCCTCTCCAACTCACATCTGCTCATATTTGCTCATCTTGGAGTTAGAGAGAGAGAGAGAGAGAGAGAGAGGTAGAAAATGGAGGGGAAAGAAGAGGATGTTAAGCTTGGAGCAAACAAGTTCTCAGAGAGACAACCAATAGGGACATCAGCACAGACAGACAAAGACTACAAGGAGCCACCACCAGCGCCTTTGTTTGAGCCAGGAGAGCTAACATCATGGTCCTTTTACAGGGCTGGGATTGCGGAGTTCATAGCCACATTCTTGTTCCTCTACATCACCATCTTGACTGTTATGGGTGTTTCTAAGGCACCCACCAAGTGCTCCACTGTTGGCGTTCAGGGCATTGCTTGGGCCTTTGGTGGCATGATCTTTGCTCTTGTCTACTGCACTGCTGGTATCTCAGGTAAAAAAAAAAGAAAAAAACCTAAACTTTCTTGATTCTTCTCATGTGTATTCTTCTGATCAGCTTGAGTTTTTTTTTTTTTTTTTTTAACTTCTATGATTCATCATCATGGATTATGGTTCATCATCATGGATTTAGACTTTAGAAAAAGAAAGGAACTGTTTTGTTTTTGGAGGTCTATGCATGCTATTTTTTATGGGTTTGTTGAGGTTTTTTTTTTTTTTCATGCTTCATGGGTTTAGAAGAGCAAAGAAAAATAAAAAAGGAAACTTTTTTTAGGTCTATGCTTGCTGATATTTATTTAGTGGGCTTCTTAGTTTTTTTTTTTTCCTTTTTGTTTTTGGTAGATTGTTTCACTTGGGTTTGTTTCTTTTGGTCAGATTTCATGGTTTCTTTTAGTCTTTTGTTTTGTGCAAAATATTTTAGGTGGGTTTGATTCTGGCTTCAGTCTTTTCGTTTTTTTCCTTATCTAAAAAAAGAGAAAATTTAGATGGGTTTTTCACTTTTCCTTCTTTCACTACAAAAGAAAAAAAAAAGGTGAAAACTTGTTCTTGGGTTGGTTCCAACTTCACTAAGTAGAAGAACAACATTTTGGTTCTTGAGATCTTCGTTACTAAACCAGATCTACGTTGTTTTTTTTTTTTTGTTTTGGAACAGGAGGACACATAAACCCGGCCGTGACATTTGGGTTGTTCTTGGCGAGAAAACTGTCGCTGACAAGAGCAGTTTTCTACATCATCATGCAGACACTCGGTGCGATCTGCGGAGCTGGAGTTGTGAAAGGTTTTGAGAAGTCGTCAACCTTTGAAAGATTGGGTGGTGGCGCCAACGTTGTCGCTCATGGCTACACCAAGGGCGATGGTCTTGGTGCTGAGATTGTTGGCACTTTTATCCTTGTTTACACCGTCTTCTCTGCCACTGACGCCAAGAGGAACGCCCGTGACTCTCACGTCCCTGTATGTCTTTCTCTCTCCTCATTCTCTCTCTCTCTCTCTCTCTAATCTTACTTTGCTTAATATTTGTTTTTTTTTTTTTTGTTTTGTTTTGTTTGTTTTGTTTGTTTTTGTTTTGTAAGTTTCCTTAGCGATAATTTTATCATATTAACTTGAACTTCTATGATGGACTATTTTAAAATGCTTTTATTTTATTTATGGGACTCTACTTTAACACCCAACTGACAATGTGAAAACTGAAACAAAGTGATAGATCTGGTCAAGTTTGGGATTTTTAAAAAATTCAAGGACCAAAGTGGGGTTTGAGCTTAAGTTAAGATTGAGTTTTTTTTTTTTTTTTTTTTTTTTTTTTTTCCTCTGAAGGTTTTAGCTTGAGTTGTTAAGTTGCTTCTACGAGTCATCTTACTTGTTTTATTTTTTCTGTTTTTTTTATGTCAATAGTTTGGAATTGGTGTTCTTGTTAGTGTTACATTTGTATTATGTTTTTCCGTAACTTTGTTCATATGAGAATCCATGGAATTTGCCAAAGAGTTTGGTTGATGATAATCAAGAGCAGAAAGACTTTTTTTGTTTTCTGAAATTGTGTTGTAATTTATCCTTTTTGTCCTATTATTATGTGTGCAGATCTTGGCTCCTCTCCCAATTGGATTTGCTGTGTTCTTGGTCCACTTGGCCACCATCCCCATCACTGGAACTGGCATCAACCCAGCAAGGAGTCTTGGAGCTGCCATCATCTACAACAAGGACCACGCATGGGATGACCATGTAAGCCAATCAAATCAAATCAAAACCCATCTTTGATCATCAACCTTGATGTGTGGCTGAGATTTAACTGACCTTTTTGTTTTGCAGTGGATCTTCTGGGTGGGACCCTTCATTGGAGCTGCTCTTGCTGCTGTGTACCACCAGATAGTCATCAGAGCCATTCCATTCAAGTCCAGGGCTTGATTTTTTCATATTTCTTTCTCGTTTTCGTTTTGTTCTTCGACGACTATTTCTTTTCTCTTTTCTCTTTCTTGGTGTCTTGTCTCGTCGTTTTCTCTTTTTCCCCATGTGTATTTGGTGGTAGTGTGAAGATTAAGTTATGTGTGTACATTATTATCTATCCAAGTGCATCCAGAGTTTGTGACAACTTTTCTTAATGGAGAATTCTTTTTATGTTTAATTATCTTAGAGCATCTATCAGCACAAAAAAAATATATATATATATATAAAATAACAAATATATATGTATATATCTTAGGGTTTTAATGATTAATTCAATATTTATCTATTAGTATTATCATATAATAATTTTTAATAATACGTAAATTTCTGTATCTCATATATATATGGACACCAATTTAAATCTTGGATTTTTGAATTGAGAGATTAAAATTCTGTTTATTTTAACAATTTAAATTTTATTAGATAAAAAATTTTCAGAAACCTCTTTATGTTTACCGCTTGAAAGGGATTTCAGTATATTCACTATTTAGTGTCAATTCTTACTCTTTGGAACCATGTGGAAAGTTCTTACTCTATGAATGGCAACTTTGACAAGCAATAATGCTGGTTGGTATCAATCAGTCTCACTCCTTGAGCTGTATTAATGTGCCTTGGGTTCTTTGCTTAGGCCTTACGCTACTTATAAGCACTTTTCTATTCATCATTATCCATTTGAAATTATTGCTTTTGTCCAAATTGAATATGTCGTTTGTAAACTTTTGTTTGGTAGGGCTGATTGAATGTTAAATGGACTCGACAAAGCCAAATCAAAGTAAAAAACCAAGTGATATATACTGTAATTAATCAATATACTTCTTTCCTCTAGTAATTTGATCGATGGGTATTGCATTAGGAAATTGAGTAATGAATGATAAGAAGTAACTAAATAAAATTATTTAAAAAGGGTATTGTGAAGAGTAGATTGAGGGATGACAATAACCTTCTTATGGAATTGCCTTGTGTCCGATTAAATTTCAAACAGAAGGTGGTTTTATTGTAACATTTTTATAGTTTGGGGATACATTTTGAACTCGTAATTTGGGGTTAAAGGAAAATGTGGGCCAAAATTATGTGGGGATGTTTAAAATTAATCCTTGAAAGAAGGTTTTACAATGGTATAGGATGAGACCATACTCATGGATTATGGGAAGATAAGTAGTAACATAGTATGAGCGTATAAATCGAAGGATAATTTTAATAAATACCCATTAAATGTGTACTTGTTAGGGTTTTTACCTTTTATTCTTAATTTATAACCTTTTTAGTTAAATAATAAGGATATTTATCAATAATAAGAGATAAATGTTCATACTCATGTACTCTAAAGAGTAAATTTTTTATTTTTTTCTAAATTTTGAAGGGTTATTTTCACCAATTGCCATCGATACTTATTCAGGGAAAAAAAAAATGCCATCAATACTTTAGTTTAGCTCTGAGCCTCTGACATTCAATTTCAAACATCTAGCTACCTCGGTTTTGAAATATACATTTTTTAGTCCCTCCATTAATAATCTGTTTATTTTCACACAAAATATAATACGAGAATAACACATGAAGATTTTAGAAAAACAAAATGGTTTGAAAACAAGCATATTTAATAAAATGTATGTGTAGAAAGAAAAAAAAATCAAATCTAAAATAAAAGTATTTTTTTATTCGTTGGTTTTTTTAACCATTTTATCTCTCTTAAAACTCTTACACGTCATTACTGAATTATAATTTATATTTGTAGTTACTCGCGGAATCAAATACAAACGTTGGATAGCCAAATCTTTAAAGTGAATTTTGAGGATTAAAATGAGATAAAGGGGACATGCTCGAAGGTTATGGATGAAAATAGCTCTAAATGTAATGATTCATTGTGACCTTTGTTGAGAATGAAATGTGGTGAGGCCACAAATTTAAGATACCAGTCAATATTCTTTTGAATTATACGTCCCATGCACGTACCCGCATTTCATTCTCAAAACGACAATCGCTTCGAGAATTGCTTTTACATTTCATTTTGAATTACATTTAAGATCTCTAGTATTTACGTTTCATTTTTGAAAGCCATGCCGCTTTTCCTATTCGATGGGCTACTTACTTTGTTTTCCTTGGTCATTTTTATTTCTAAAAGTTTGGTCTTAGGGATGAGCATTTTACTCCTGCAAGTGCCCGCGAGCGGGTGTGAGAGACAGGAGTAGGGGAAGGTATTGTTCAGTTTATGAATTCGAGTTTTCAATTCAAGTTAAGATGTGATTTTATGTGAAAGTTTTTCACTGTAGTAAAAAAGTTAGATGTGACTTTTTGTGAGAATTTGTCTAGAATTAAAAACTCAAATTAGTAAAATAAACGAGGTCGAAGTATACCCCATCCGTTTCACCCAATATTCATCCATAATATATTTACAACATTTATGTCGTTTTTAACCTATTTTCAAAGTTTATTTCCCTTTTTTGGTTTGATGTAGTAAAAAAATGTACGCATGATATCGTTGTTTTCTCAATGTCGTTGTTTTGAAAGTCTTGTCGTTTTTTTATCCTTTTGAAGGCATGATCATTTTATTTGAGGTAGTGATTGTTTGTCTTATAGAAATGTTGATTTCAGTGTCGTCACGTCCTTCTTTCAGATAATTTCACAATTTTTTTTGTCGTATTTATTGCAATACAAAAGTAAAAGTCATTTCAAATTTTTTTTTTATAGAAAATTTCACAAATTAGTTTCACTTGAACTCTGTCATTTTGCCAAAGGCTCGTTACCTTTTTAAGTATATAAGGACGATTTTCAAATATCTTGTCGCTTTTTAAGACAAATATATGAGTTCATTGAGTATCGACAGAGGGATGATCGAAGTTCCTTTCTTCGTATTATGTGGTTGAGAGAGAGAGAGAGAGGGCGTTTAGTCATTTTGTTTTTGTATAGTCGAACTTTATTGGAAAAACATTTATGGGAAGTTTAGTTTATGGGTTCAGAATCATAATTAATGATTCTAATTTTTGAAATTTAAATTTTTTATGAGAGGAAAATATTATAAAGAACTAAGAATCATGATTCAGAATTATAGATAAATTCTTGAAACAAACATCCCATAATGTCCATATTATACGATCGATCTAGGTCTTTCTGGTTGCTGTCGTTTTCAGAAACAAATGTTTTTTTTCCTTGTCAAATAATGCCCTACATCTGATGTCGCTGTTTATACCCCATTGTCGTTTCTAAAGTTTGTGTTAAGTTATTATTATTTTTTCTTTAAGATTTTCATTTCCTATGTTTGTTGTTGTCGTTTTAAAGAAGGCATATCGTCATTTTAATTAAAAGAAAGCCCTTGTCGTTTTTGAGATTTCCTTTGTTGTCATTTTCTACTCCATCGTCATTTTTATTATATGTCGTCGCTTTAAAGTAATTCCCATGTTGTTTCTATCTATATAGGCCACTATATTATGATTTGATGTCATTTTTTCTTAACTATTGCTGTTTTTATTTCAGTGCGTCTCGTTTCAAAAGTGACCAGTGGAATGGAGAAAAATGAGATTTTATTGGCCTACTCCGGACAGAGGATTTTCAAACACCTAAAAGAACTTCATAAGGAGAAAATCCTCATATTGGAGAGAAAACACTCAAACTTTGTATTCAATATCAATTATCAATTCTCACTATTACAATAACTAAAGTGGCTATTTATAACTCGCTTACAAAAACAAAACACTACTAAAACAAAACGATAAACTAGTAACAAAATAAAGCTAAATTACTAAGCTAGAACAAACGATAATGAAAATATAAAAACAACTTCTAATAGGTAAATCTCCCTACATCAGTTCACCTCTTCTTTGAAAAGAACTCGACCTCAAGTTCGATAGGAGCACACGGAAGGCAAATGTGACGTAGCAAGTGAAAACGATAGTGGTAAAAGACTCCCGTTTAGACTTGTGGGAGTGATAAACCCCAATAGAATAGCTCATCTGTACCACATCCCAAACTCACAAAGGCACCAAGACAATGCTTCAATAGAATGCGGAAAATATAAAAAATATGCACCAATGACATCGCCTCGCTTCCTTGATGGAATGCAAAAAATATAAAAAATATGCACCGATGACATCGCCTCGCTTCCTTGATCTTGAATTCCTCAAATTCGACTTCCATCATACCAACTAATTGACCAATAAAATGAACTCCCTTAATTGATCCATTTAGAATTTCAACAGCCCCAATAAAATTAATTTCTTCACCTTTTCCTTCAATTTTATCCACTTTAAAATGGTCCACAAACTTCTCTTCATCAAGGTTCTCAAAATTAGTAATTTTATCCCCCAAAATTTCACAAGAGGAATCTCTGTTCTCCTCAAGCTTAATTGCCAATGTGCTGATGTGGTGACCAAGTTGATCATCTAAAAGTTGCACTTTTGAGCAAACCCAAAGCATCTACGGGAACTTCTTGTTCACTTTGCTCAAATTGAGAAAATTCATCGCTCAATGTTTCACAATAATTATTTGTGCTTTCTTCGTAATCAAACCAATGGGAAACAAACTTCATCATATCAATAAGAGTTGCAATTCTACCTCTGGGTAAAGTGGGCCGAAGCTGCTGATTGGAACTGGGCTTGAGATGGAATCTGATGCAGTGAACTAGAGGAGAATGAGATTTTACCGGTTTAATTTGGACGGAGGATCTCTAAATCCACTTAAAAAGTTTTTTGGAAAGAGTAGAAAATAGATCAATATGAAAAGTTTAAAAAAATATATAGGTTAATTTTTAGTTATATAAATTAATAGGTCATAACTTGTTAAGTTATAGTTCATAATCATATAAGTTATGGACAAACTTATTAAGTTATGATTCATAGCTAGATAAGTTATGGATAATAACTTGTCAAGTTATAGTTCATAACCAGACAAGTTATAGACGAAAATAGTAATTTGGCCTATTTATTAACTTATGTAAATTATTGACTTATTAATTTTAATTCATCTCAAGTCTTGACCTATTTTTCTCTTTCTCCCTAAAAATAATTATAGGGAGAAAATCTCCAAATTGAAGAGAAAACACTCAAACTTTGTATTCAATATCAATCATAAATTCTCACTATAACAATAACTAAAGTAATTATTTATAATTCAATTACAAAAAGGATAACAAAACACTACTAAAACAAAACGATAAACTAATAACAAAGTAAAGCTAAATT